TGAGTTTATCTTTGTGTATGGTGCATGAGAGTGGTCCAGTTTCATTCTTCTGCATGTGGATGTCCAATTTTCCCAGCACCATTTATTGAAGAGACTGTCTTTCTTCTAGTGGATCGTCTTTCCTCCTTTATCGTATATTAGTTGAGCATAAAGTTCAGGGTCCACTTCTGGGTTCTCTGTTCTGTTCCATTGATCTATATGTCTGTTTTTGTGCCAGTACCACACTGTCTTGATGAACACAGCTTTGTAGTACAACCTGAAATCTGGCATTGTGATGCCCCCAGATATGGTTTTCTTTTTTTAAAATTCCCCTGGCTGTTTGGGGTCTTTTCTGATTCCACACAAATCTTAAAATAATTTGTTCTAAGTCTCTGAAGAAAGTCCATGGTATTTTGATAGGGATTGCATTATACGTGTAAATTGCCCTGGGTAACATTGACATTTTCACAATATTAATTCTGCCAATCCATGAGCATGGAATATTTTTCCAACTCTTTGTGTCTTCCTCAATTTCTTTCAGAAGTGTTCTGTAGTTTTTAGGGTATATTTTGAGAACCATTTGAATGGTAAATGGTTCTCCAACCTTTTATTTTCAGGTTGTAGGTGTCCTTCTGTCTAAAATGAGTCTCTTGTAGACAGCAAATAGATGGGTCCTGTTTTTTTATCCAGTCTGAAACTCTGCGCCTTTTGATGGGGTCATTAAGCCCATTCACGTTCAGAGTTACTTGAACTTCTTCTTAAAGGGGAGTTTTAAGAGTCCCCCTTAAAATTTCTTGCAGAGCTGGTTTGGAGGTCACATATTCTTTCAGTTCCTGCCTGTCTTGGAAGCTCTTTATCTCTCCTTCCATTTTGAATGAGAGCCTTGCTGGATAAAGTATTCTTGGTTGCATGTTCTTCTCATTTAGGACCCTGAATATATCCTGCCAGCCCTTTCTGGCCTGCCAGGTCTCTGTGGAGAGGTCTGCTGTTACCCTAATATTCCTCCCCATGAAAGTCAGGGACTTCTTGTCTCTTGCTGCTTTAAGGATCTTCTCTTTATCTTTGGAATTTGCAAGCTTCACTATTAGATGTCGAGGTGTTGAACGGTTTTTATTGATTTTAGGGGGGGATCTCTCTATTTCCTGGATCCGAATGCCTGTTTCCCTTCCCAGATTGGGAAAGTTTTCAGCTAGGATTTGTTCAAATACATATTCTGGCCCTCTGTCCCTTTCGGCGCCCTCGGGAACCCCAATTAAACGTAGGTTTTTCTTCCTTAGAGTGTCATTTATTTGCCTTAATCTGTCTTCATGGTTCTTTAATTGTTTATCTCTTTTTTCCTCAGTTTCCCTCTTTGCCATCAACTTGTCTTCTATGTCACTCACTCGTTCTTCCACCTCGTTAACCCTCGTCGTTAGGACTTCTAGTTTGGATTGCATCTCATTCAATTGATTTTTAATTTCTGCCTGATTGGATCTAAATTCTGCAGTCATGAAGTCTCGTGAGGCCTTAATGCTTTTTTCTAGAGCCACCAGTAGCTGTATAATAGTGCTTCTGAATTGGCTTTCTGACATTGAAGTGTAATCCAGATTTTGTAACTCTGTGGGAGAGAGGGCTGTTTCTGATTCTTTCTTTTGAGGTGAGGTTTTCCTTCTAGTCATTTTGCTCAGTGCAGAGTGGCCAAAAACAAGTTGTATTGGAACACGGGGGAGTATCACTGGTCCGTCTAGCTGGTCTTCTGGGGGAGGGGCCTGTTGCGCTGATTCTCAGGTGTTAGCACTTGGGGGAGCTGCTCTGCCCCTGCCTGCTGCAGGGCTCAGCGGGGGTTGTTTACCCCGTGAGGTCTCAGGAGGAACAGTCGCAGTTGCTATGGCAACTCTGGAAGCCTGGATTCAGCCTCCGCAGGAACTACGGGGCTCGGGGCTCTCGGTTCCGTCGCAGGCCTGGAGGCTCCGGGGCGGGGCCGCTGATCTGCTCAGCTCGGGCAGGAGCGTCCTCGCTGTCCTGGGCCCTCCCGGCCTCTGCCTGTCCCGGGGGAGGCCGGATCCTGGGCTGTGTCCCGGCGCCCTGTGCTCCGGGGCCTGCGCTGTTGGATTTGCGCTCCCGCCCCGCAGCCCCTCCCTGGAGCCGCTCCCGAGCCCCTCCGAGCTGCTCCGGTCGGTCCCTCCGTGCGCGCTGCAGCCCTTAGGGAGCTCGGAGCACTCTCCTGCGCTCGCAGGTGTCTGTTAGTGTCCCCGGGAGCCCGAGGGCATCCCCGCCCTCCTGGGTCCTGCTCCAACTCCCTGCGAGCCCCTTTCCGCCCGCCCGGGAAGGTTGGTGCAGCTCCTGCTCCTCCGGGACGGGGCTCTCCTGTCCTGGGGACACTCGCCCCGGCCTCAGCCCGGCTCCTCGCGGGGCCCCTCCCCCTCGGAGGCCTTTTGTTCCTTTATTTCTTTTTCCCCGTCTTCCTACCTTGATAGAAGCGCGGACTTTTCTCACTGTAGCATTCCAGCTGGTCTCTCTTTACATCTCAGGCCGAATTCGTAAATTTTCAGGATGGTTTGAAGGTTATCTAGGTAATTTGGTGGGGACAGGTGATTTGGGGACCCTGCTCTTCCGCCATCTTGCCCCTCCCCCCTCCATTTTCACTTCTTAATATGACTTTTGATGAGCAGAAGTTTTTAATTTGGTGAAATTCATTCAATAATTTTTCTTTTGTGGTTAGCCATTTTGTTTCTTGACTAAGAAATCTTTACTCATGTCAATACACTTTTATAATATTTTTGGTTTAAAATTTTTTATACTTTTAGTCCTCACATTTAAGTCTATGAGCCACTTTGAATTCATTGTTGTGTATGGCGTGGAGTAAGGAGTCAAGGTTAATTATTTTTTATGTGCATATCTGGTTGTCCCAGCATAATTTATTGAATGGGTCTTCCTTTCTCCACTAAATTGCATTGACACTTTGCCAAAAATCAATTGATTATATAACTAAGGATTTATTTCTGTGTTCTCCATTCTGTTACCTTGATCTATTAATGTATTCTTTTTTTAAATTTTTTAAATAATAAATTTATTTTTTATTGTTGTTCAATTTACCAATGTACAGAATAACACCCAGTGCTCATCCCATCAAGTATTCTTTTTTTTTTTTTAATTTTTATTTATATTATGATAGTCACAGAGAGAGAGAGAGAGGCAGAGACATAGGCAGAGGGAGAAGCAGGCTCCATGCACCGGGAGCCCGATGTGGGATTCGATCCCGGGTCTCCAGGATCGCGCCCTGGGCCAAAGGCAGGCGCCAAACCGCTGCGCCACCCAGGGATCCCCCATCAAGTATTCTTATAAAATATTATGCTATATTAATTTTTTAGCTTTTGAAGTCTTAAAATTTGTAATGTGTTTTCTCCAACTTAGTGATTTTTCTTTAAGATTGTCTTGGCTATTTTAGGGCATTTTCATCTTCATTTAAATTTTAAAATGGGCCTGTCAATGTCCAAGGACAATGACCAGGTTCCTGTGCTCAGGCCTGGAGGAGTAAAGTGGGTAGAATCAGCGTTCTCTCTCCTATAACCTACACAGTGGCAACCTGGCCAAGTTCGGTGTAGGTTATCTATAGACTGTGGTTGGGGAGGAGGTCACAAAGGAACACAAATTACATTGACCTCTTGTTTCTCACTGAAAACACTTGATGCAGTGAATGGACAATGCCAATATATCTTTAAACTTTCACAAGTTTTGGCACCTAGAATGCTATATACTATCAAATTATCATTCAAGTGAAAGAGCCAAATAATGACGTGTTTCAGATATGCATGCAAATAGAAAGTTTCTCCTCTTTGGACTTTACAAAGAAATTCTTTCACCATTATATTAGTCATCTGATTTATTAATGGGCTTACATTCCATGTACTATACCTATTTATTTAAACAAATAAGAGATTATAAATGTATGTTAATTGGAAATCCTCTCCCTCTCTGTCCCCTACTGTATTACATTCTTACTGCATTGACTATACCCACATATATATTTATGTAATCTTTAAAAACATAATGAATTCATACTTTCACACTTGTTACATATCTTCAGTTTTTTACCTAATGGCTTTCGAAGAATAGACATCCATTTGATTCTTTCAAGTTGCTGCGTATTCTTACACATAATTTCCCCACTCTTTATTAATAGGGTTTTAGGTTGTTGCCAATTTTTACCTGTCATAAACTGGAAATCACTGAAAAATATATTTCAATATCCAATATATTTTTATGGTAGTATTTCCATAGGTTAGAATCCTAAAAGTGGGAGTTTCTAGAATAAAATATTAAATCACATATTTCTAAACACCTAGCTTTAGGGATAGATGGGAGAAAGAAAGGTTCCAACGTCCCCATTGTGAAATAGATAACTTTCATGTAATCATCTTGGTTCTTGTTCTTTCTGACCATTACCATTTTAAATTGTATAGTAAATAAATAAGAGGCAATTAAAAGAAATAAAGCCACAGAGAAACAATCAAGAATAGAAACATGAGAGAAAAGGCAAAAACTTAAATTTTAAGCAAGAAAAAGTTTTATGAAAGAGAATATTAAGGAATTATAAAAATACTCATAATAAGAAAAGTAGCTAAAATGTAACTCTTTTCCTCACTGTGCCCCTCTCCTTCCATTCTTTTCCTCCTGAAATGTTTGTCAAAGTATTCAACCGCTGTTTTCAGCAATATACTGAAATGTGAAGGGTTTGAGAGGGTAAGTCTTAATAAATGGAGAGCAATTTGTTCAGGATATATTGTCAAAATATGATTAGTTTAAAGCAGTATTTGGAAGATAAGAACATGATGAATCTTTGTGGAAAAGTGGAGGAATAGTGAGGAGAAACTTGATGATTTCAGCAGAGTCAGGGACAATTGGTCAGCTGACATCAATAGATGTGAGCGCCCACAATAGGCTTGTCTCAGGTTAAAAAAGCTAACCTCCAACCGTTCGATTGTTCACCAAGGTCTAGTAGGGACCAGATTCCAGTGGAGCAGATTTCACTTGGGAGTTTGTCAAGAGGGTGTTGCTTGAGAATTCCGCCTGCCCATCAGCTTCCTTAGGCCCTGTTTCAGGTCTTTGTTTCTCAGGCTGTAGATAAAAGGGTTTAGCATGGAGGAAAGAACTGTGTAGACAATTGTTGCTATGTGGTCCCTGGCACTGTAGGTGGACAGGGGCTGTAAATAGACATAGAAGATGCTTCCATAAAAGAGTGTGACCACGGTGAGGTGAGAGCCACAGGTGGAGAAGGCTTTGCGTTTCCCAGCAGCTGAAGGGATCTTAAGAACTGCGATGAGAATTCGTACATAAGAGAGAGTGATGCACAGAAATGGAGTCACCAAAACAACAGAACCTTCTGATATTATCACAACTTCATTGACAAATGTGGAGGAACAGGACAATTTCATCAAGGGACTGAGGTCACAGAGGAAGTGGTGGATGACATTGGAGTCACAGAAAGTGAGACTGTTCAGTAGCAGTGTGTGTACGAGTGAGTGGAAGTGGGGAAGTGAGCAGGAAAAGGCCACCAGCAGGACACAGCAGCGGCGGTTCATGGTGGTGACATAGTGGAAGGGGTCACAGATAGCCACATAGCGGTCAAAGGCCATGACTGCCAGAAGGCAGCTGTCGGTGTTGCCCAGAGCATAAATGAAATACATCTGTGTCAGACACCCAGCATAGGAGATGGTCTTCTTAGAAAGGAAGTTCACTAGCATCCTGGGGACAACAGTTGTTGTAAAGCAAATATCAGTGAAGGACAGGAAACTCAAGAAGAAATACATGGGGGTCTGGAGCTGGGGATCAGAATGGATGGCCAGGATGATGAGTAGGTTCCCTATTATGGTGATCAGGTACATGGTGAGGAAGAGGATAAAGAGTGGCTTCTGGTCCTCAGGCTGGGAGGAGAGTCCCAGGAGAATGAACTCAGAGACACTGCTGGTTTGGTTGACCCTTGCCATTGGCTTCGGCCTAGTTATATAAATGAAGTTTTGTTATTTACCTTACTCCAAGTCCAGAACCCAACTAGTCTTTGTTTTCTCTGTTTGGTCACAATTAGCTGCTGTGCAGGGACAGCTTGTCAATCTCATGGTCCTTGATGTGGCCTTCCCTTCCCAACTTCCCTTCCCAAATCCATGGCATCACAAGGCCTTATAGTGAAGGTTGGAGGGGCAGAAGAGTTTTCCTTTAGAAACTATCAGAGATGGGGGATCCCTGGGTGGCTCAGCGGTTTAGCTCCTGCCATCGGCCCAGGGCATGATCCTGGAGTCCCGCGTCAGGCTCCCTGCATGGAGCCTGCTTCTCCCTCTGCCTTTGTCTCTGCCTCTCTCTCTCTGTGTCTATCATGAATAAATAAATAAAATATTTTTTTAAAAGAAACTATCATAGATGGACCTCACCGATTCCAGTTCATTAGTTCCTATTCCATGGAAGCACTATTCCCTTGCTAGATATTTAGCAATAAAAACAGGCAAATCCTTGTCATTATGTAGCTCCTGTCCTAGGTGGGGAGTCAGATCATTGACAAACAACATAAAACAGTGTATAAGGGATAGAGATGGATGAGGGATGAGTTTGCCAAAATATAAACAGGGAAAATCTAAGGGGAATGTTGAACCTGTTTCAGCAAAGTGAGCTTTTTCTCCTTTGAGTGCAGGATAAGGGATTCCTCTTCCTTAGTCCATGTCATGCTGTCATCACTGGTCTGGGCACATGTCTGTTTTTCTGTAAATTAATTTTTCTTTCTTTAATATTTTGTCCTAAATCACATTTGTATAGGATGGGTACCCATTATTGAGTATTCAACTCATGCTTTATAATTCACCAGTCATGTGGATGCAACAATACCTATGAAAACATTAATTTTTTATATATTAAGAATTTATGTACATATGTATGCTTTTTTTCAATCATATCCAGTTACCTAGTGATGGACATCAAAGCGGCCTCTAATTTTTTTTTGTTGATACCACAAAAAGCTCTTCAGTGAGAGATATTATATAAGCCAAGTGTTTTATTTATTTTATTTTATTTATTCATGAGAGACAGAGAGAAAAAAGGTAGAGACACAGGCAGAGGGAGTAGCAGTCTCTCTTTAGGAGCCCAATGTGGGACTCTATCCGGACCCCTGAGCCGAATGCAGATGCCCAACCACTGAGCCACCCAGGAGTCCCAAGCCAAGTGTTTTAAATTAATTTTTAAATGGTCAGCATATTCATCCATACCTCATTAATAGAGATTTCCTTTTTCTATTTTGAGATTTTCAAGTATTTTCAGACATTGGTTATTTATCCATAAAAAGCTCTACAATGGACATGGGTGTATCTCCAAAATGTTTGAAATAATTTTTTCAGAAGCACCATAATCTTTCACACCTTTTCAATGGTCTTTTCACATTGGAATTTTCAGACATTACAATTTTTATTCTATATTAATATATTAACTCATTGAACATTGAAATATTAATATATTAATTAATTTATAAAGCAAATGCTGTAATTGCATTAACAAATGATGTCATGTATATAATAGTGGTTACACTTCATAATACTGTTTTGCATATTTGGAATTTGCTAAGACAGTAAATGATAGAAGTATGCTTACATTTTAATTGTAAATTACTAAACATCTTTAAACCTCAATTTTACCATGTATAATATTGGATAGAAATACCCTTGTTCTTGTGAGGTTTTAGTGAGAAATGCATCTAAAGCACTCAGCAGAGAGACAAACATATGTGAATACTCAAGAGAAACTTATTTTTTTGAGAAAGAGAGGAGAAAGGGGAAGAAGGATAGGAAGAGAGAATATCTTATGCAGGCTCCTGGCACATCATGGAGCCCAACTTCAGACTGCAATCTCCCAACCCTGAGATCATGATAAATCAAGAGTCAAACCCTTAACTGACTGAGCCACTTAGGCACCCCAACTCAAGAGAAACACTTGATCATCATCAGACTCAGTGTCACCTTCCCTTATCTGATATTAGTGGTTGTCCTCAAAATCAGTCAACTCACCTGCTTAAAATACACCCCTCCCTGCCAAGTTGTCAGACTAATCTCATGATTTTGCAAGATCTAACGGAAGGTTTATTTGTGTATGCATTGAGTGATTTGAACAAACCTGTAGTTAAAGTTAATAATAATAACCAATGTTACTAAAATTCTACTACGTGTGAAGCTTGTGCTAAGCACTTCATGAATCCCATGATGAGGGATCACAAGGCATGTGTTTGTTTGAATTTTAAGATTTTATTTATGGCCCTTTCAAGAAGATGGTGCCGAAGGCGAAGAAGGAAGCCCCTGCTCCTCCCAAAGCTGAAGCCAAAGCAAAGGCTTTGAAAGCTAAGAAAGCGGTGCTGAAAGGTGTGCACAGTCACAAAAAAAAGAAGATCCTCACATCACCTACATTCCAACGACCCAAAACCCTGCGTCTCCAAAAGCAGCCCAAATATTCTCAAAAGAGCGTCCCCAGGAGAAACAAGTTTGATCACTATGCCATCATCAAGTTCCCCCTAACTACTGAGTCAGCCATGAAGAAAATAGAAGACAACAACACACTTGTGTTCATTGTGGATGTCAAAGCCAATAAGCACCAGATCAAACAGGCTGTGAAGAAGCTCTATAACATTGATGTGGCCAAGGTCAACACTTTGATCAGGCCTGATGGAGAGAAGAAAGCATATGTTCGACTGGCTCCTGACTATGATGCTTTGGATGTTGCCAACAAAATTGGGATCATCTAAACTGAGTCCAGCCGGCTATAAATCTAAATATAAATTTTTTCACCATAAAAAAAGATTTTATTTATGTATTTATTTGAGAGAGAGAGAGAGCACCAACTGGGATGGGGCAGATGGAAGAAAACAATAGTTTTCTTTTTTAAAAATTTATTTTCTTGGGGAATCCCTGGGTGGCTCAGTGGTTTGGCGCCTGCCTTTGGCCCAGGGCACGATCTTGGAGATCCGGGATCCCACGTCGGGGTCCCGGCATAGAGCTTGCTTCTCCCTCCTCTTGTGTCTTTGCCTCTCTCTATATATATATAATACATAAAAATAAATAAATAAATCTTTTAAAAAATTTTCTTTTCTTTTTAACTGATGGTGTTTTGCTTCCACCAAATCCCACAGTGTAGACTATGTAGAGGTCAAATTGGATTGGACTGAAAACCAAAAGCTGTGTGGTTTTATTTATTTTTTTTAATTTTTTTTATTTACTTAGGATAGTCACAGAGAGAGAGAGAGAGAGGCAGAGACACAGGCAGAGGGAGAAGCAGGCTCCATGCACCGGGAGCCGGATGTGGGACTCGATCCCGGGTCTCCAGGATTGCGCCCTGGGCCAAAGGCAGGCGCCAAACCGCTGCGCCACCCAGGGATCCCCTGTGTGGAGGTTTTAGTTGGACCCCATGACTGCCTAATCCATGAAATATTTGAAACTCTCAGGGAGGAAAGAGTAAGTGACATTGGTCAAGCACAAGCTTGACCAATGTCAGGCAGGTGACCAACTTACTGAAGCTCACTTCCAGATCCAGATGCTCCTTTTACCTTCCCCACGTCTCCAGAAGCTGATCTGTGCACATTTGCTACTCGGCTGCCAATCTTCCTCTCAGCCAAGCACAGCCCCCTCACGTTTCTCCCATGACAATCTTGGTTGATGAACAAGGAGATGAATAGGAAAGGCAGGAAGCTGATATGCTACTTTAAAGGGATAGCATGTTTCCCCTCCCTGGCCTCCAACCTCTAATGTCTGGTTCCCAGCATGCTGCTGCTTTCTCAGCTCCCCATCTCAGAAGGCAAAAATGCCCTGACTCAGGGGACAAGGACCCTCCTGATTGTGAAAGCCCAGGCAGTGTCTCCTGAGTCTGAGCTCTGGTTTGCTGGCCTCGGGGCCCTTGTTAGGTTGAAGGAGTTTTGGTGTGATGACTTCTCAAGGGAGCTGGTCCTGTGATTGCTCTAAGCAGAGCAAGCCGACTGGGGATGACACATAGTAGGGCTGACTCCAGGGGATAGGGGAGCCCTGAGGCTTCCTGTTTTGATTATGGGACTCATCCTAAAACTTCATAACCTTAGCACAACATCTCAAAGGTGTGTAAGTATTCCCAACTCTGGGTTATCAAGGGTGAACAACTATTATGTTGGTGAATATTTTTATGTTTGGGGAAACAGGTGTGGACCTTGGTATATTCTAGAACTGGGGAGGTTGCAGTTTTCAAGGGATTCAGTGAGGGTAGATCAGTGGTGTGTGGTGTATTCCAGTATCTTGGCAGGCATCTAGACTAGCTTTCTTTTCTATATGGGATTAGCTTAATGTTAATTTACATATATTTAAAGCACAGGGTATGGCAGTGATTGTTGTTATGTTTAGTAAAGGGGCTTTGGAAAAATAGTGTTGGTGTTTCACAGTTAGGCTCAGAAAATTCTTTGAAGGTTAGTGATAAGGAAAGAAGATATTTAGAGCATTGTGGCCTTGCCAGTAAGTTAGTTGCTTTTAAGAATTTACACTATAGAGGTTCATCACAAAGTTAAAAATTCAACTACCCTACAACCCAACAATTGCACTACTAGATATTTAAAGACACAAATATGGTGATATGAAGGGGCATATGCACCCCAGTATTTATAGCAGCAATGTCCCCAATTACCAAAATGTGGAAAGAACCCAGATGTCCATTGATGATGAATCAATAAAGAAGAAGTGGTAAATATATGCAATGGAATATTACTCAGCCATCAGAAAGAATTAAATCTTGTCACTTGCCATGACATGGATGGAACTAGAGGGTATTATGCTAAGCAAAATAAGTCAGTCAGAGAAAGATAAATACTATATGATTTCACTCATATGTGGAATTTAAGAAGCAAAACAGATGAACATAGACAAATGGAAGGGAAAATAAAATAAGATGAAAACAGGATGCAAACCATAGGAAACTCATAAATCTAGGAAACAAACTGAGGGTTGCT